GGTCCCCACAAAGATATGTAAACATGTACACACGCTCACACACTCAGGTGTTTAGCCTATCAGAGCGACTCCACCCCCTCCAACCGTGGCTGCTGTTGGTCCCAGCAGAGCGGCGTGGCGCAGTGTGTCACAGACCCTTCAGACTCGACTTCCTGCTGAGTGTTAAACTTTATTGTAGCAGCTGCAGGAAGCTCGTCGTTATTGAGCTGTCGACTCTGATGATGTCACACATAATAAAGGTTCTCATTTAGGCAAATCTGAGACAGTCAGGTGGGAGGAGTCTTAACGTTGCTGCCCTCTCGTTCTGTATTAAAGCGGAGCCGTGCAGCACGCCGCTGATACCTGCGCTTTCCTTATCAGCTCCTTGCAGCAGAGCGAGCCGTGTTGGGCTGGTTATGTATCTGCATGTCATCACCTGTAGTCTGTCTTCCACCATCGCGGTGTGCAGTCGGTCCTCGTGCTCTGATTGGTGCTGTGAGACCTTGCTGCTCGGTGTGCTCGCTGTTCCAGCATGAATGTGCTTTTTATTGTTTGCATGAGAATAATCGAGCCTGCACACGCTGATGGATGGGAGCTCTATGTGCAGAGTGTGGGGTCTACTCACCCCTGCCTTGAGTTTAGCTGGTGCTGCGTACCTTTGTGAGGTCACAGTGACTCGTACGGATGTGTGTCTGTCTGTGCAGAGGGTTCCCGGTCGGGCGCTGCATCATGCTGAAGCACCTGTCCAAAGAACCGGAGGGGATTCTGGGCTCTCAGTCGCCTCCCGCCAAACGGCCGTGCCCCGATCTGCAGGTAAACCACACACCTGAAGGTTTTGTCTTCCTAACCTGAGTCACTGCGAGCGCCACCATCAGGTCTGCCTGTGACTTCTGACCTGATGGAGGCGGTGCTTCCTGTTGCAGATGGAGGCCACTGAGCCGTCTGATTGGACCTCCGTTGTAGTCGTTCAGAGTTTGAGTTTTGTGGAAATTCCTGATTATAAATTGGCTGTGAAAATTTTATGATGGGGAAACCAAACCAGGAAGTGAGTGGGCGTGACTCACTGCCTCTGCTGGACACTAGAGGAACTGCAGGATGCTGACTTTTCTTTCTGTTAAATCTGACATTTCAAACTTCGTCACTGTCACGATTTGATTTTGGGGATCCTGATTTTTATCTTTGTGTTCTTCCTTTTCAATAATCCTTCTCCCTCATTACTTCTCCTTCCTCTTCCTCCTCTTCCTCCATCTTCCCCCCACCCAGCAGGAAAAACAGGCGGGCAGAGTAAAGAAAACGCGTCCCGTACCAAAGGTATTTTCACAGCTGACCCTCGATAACCTCTTTGCTTCGACTCTTTGTTTCAGAGGGAGTTTCACTCTGAGAAGAATTTGCAGAATCTGCTGCGGAGCGAAAACAATAAATGTGAGAAGAGCGAAAGCTTCAAGTCTTACTGAGCGTTTGGAAGCTTTCAGTCGTCCGTTCAAAAGCTCTGAGAAGATCTAAAAGCTCTCGTTGCTGATTTATTGTTTTACCTGCAGCAGCAGTTTGTTCCTCTGATGTTTGACAGTTCAGATTAAACCAATAAAAACAGATTTTCTTTAGATCTGAAATGAGTTTAAATATTTTAAATTAAATGATGACATCATTCAGCGTGGCGTTTAGAGAAACCCGTCAAAGATGGTTTCTGTCACATCTTTGTCTGAACTGTTGAAGCTCGCTGGAATAAAAAGTGAATTCTGAGTGTGGATTAACACTAACACTTTCTCTTTGTTGTGCAAACACTCCTCGTGGTGTGCACCTGTGAGTCCTGACGGAGGCGAGCGCTCGCCTGTGGACGTTGTCCACGCCCTGAGACGCCTCCGTGTCTACTAAACCTGCTGTAACGCTTCTCTCCTCTAAACGCTGCGAGTCGGGAAGAATCAGAGCTCCGTTTGTCCGGAAAATAAAATCCGGAGACACGGATGAAGACTATAATCGGTGACTTGGCCATCCCTCAGTGAGAGTGCACGCTGAACGAGGCGCTCGCTGAACGAGGCGCTCGCTGAACGAGGCGCTCGCTGAACGAGGCGCTCGCTACGATAAAGTGACAGACGGTCATCAATCGAGCTGTTTGCACCGCTCGACTGATGACTCAGCAGCGCCTGACGGTGGTTAGCTATGGGTGGTGTCACCGACACATACATGAACCACAGGTAGATGTCAGGAGGACTCCGCCCCTCGTTGTTTCCCAGGGTAATCAGGTGGGCTGGGTTATAAACCGCATCGCTGCTCTGATGTCATCACACATCTGGTGCAGATGTTTCTCACTTTGACACACGTGACGTTGAAACGGTGACGGGTTCATTTGTAACATGGTAATAGCACATTACCAACAGTTCCTGCTGCACAAAGTGCTTAACAGTGTAAAATCAATAAAAACAACAATGATGCAGTAAAATATAGGAAAACAAATAAATAAAACAAGTAAATAAAAACAACAACTAAGGCTGTTAAAACCAAAATGTTCAACATGTATGAAAAGCCAGACCATAAAAATGTCTTTAGTGATGATTTGAAACGTTAGTGTTTGTGCAGGTCACATATTAAGAGGAAGACTATTGCTGAGTCTGTCACCACCACACTTTAGTCCAGGAGTAGTTAAGCTTAGTTCTGACCTGGACCTCACGTTCTTCCTGGAGCATAAACCAACAGGAGCTCAGACAGGTGAGAAGGGGCTTGTCCGGTTTGTGATTTAAAAACAAAAAGTCAGATTTGGCTCCTGTGAGGAACAGGGAGCCAGTGAGAGGCCAACACTGGGTCACAGGCTGCTTCAGGTTAGTGCCAGTCAGCAGACGAGCAGCTGCAGTGAGTCTGTTTCTGCAGCACCGTGAAAGGTCGTAGCGTGAGAACAGCCCAGGGGCAACATGTGGACTGCAACCACGGCAGGACCCAAACTAGAGCCTTGAGGTGCACCAGGTCCAGTTCTGGATACAAACACAGCTCTGATTCTTCCTCGCTAACAAAGATGTGGGCGGGGCCTTGTGTTTTCACGCTACTTACCTGTCCACCAGCGCTCACCTGTGCGACAGCCAGGTAAGATTCAGGTCCAAGGGTGGTAATCGCTCCTCTTTCCTCTGCATGTAAACCTGAGCAGATTTATTTTAGCTGGAACCCACCCAAGGCCCGCCCACTCGACGTTCACCCGTCAGCTCTGTATCTCCCTGTCCGACCGCGACAACGGCATCGTGGGAGCCGCAGCTCCGTGACATCAGACCCGGGTCGATTTCCTGCGTGAAAGCGGCTCGTCGACGGGTTGTTTTTGGCTCTAAAAGGCAAACGAGATGGACCGGAGCGACCACGCAGGGACGCACTGGGAGTAACGGGAGCGATTGTTGCCGACGCGTCCTTCACGTCCTTCACGTCCGCTGCTCTAACAGCTTTAAAGCATTTACATAGAACATAGTCCAGATGTTTTTGCAGTCACATCTGGAGCTTTCACACAGCTCAGTGTTTGGAACAGGAGACGTCACCTGAAGGTGGCGTTGCTCCGTCAGGTGTGCTGTCAGTGAGTTTACAAAACGTAGACAATAAAATTTATATTATTTACTTTGTAAATGTAACTTTGAGAATCAAACATTGGTACGTTTGTAAAACCCGCTCAGCGTTCAGCTTTCTCCTTCGGCATTCCCAGATGGAAACTCTGTAGTTTAACCTGCTGCGTGTGCCCGGGTGGACGCGACCCTGCCCCAGAGAGCTGCAGCCTTTGCTCCTGCGTGGGAGGAGCGTTTTATCCTCGTTAGTTATCAGATAATCTCCCGGCTGTTTCGTCTGAAACGTGTCGCTGGCATTGAATTCATCGTTGGACGTATTTTTAATATCTTGGCTTCAGGTTCCTTTGTGTGGTTTTTAAAAACGCTGGCGTCGCCCGGGGTCTGATGGACACGCAGGAAACCAGTGGGCGTGGCCACTCTAACTCTCTGTGGCTCTGTTCTCTCAGATTCACAGCTGCTGCTTCTTCGCTGTCTTCAGTAGTTTGAAGGTGTCAGACTAACTGTTTGGTGTCTTAGATTTTACAGCCGCTCGTCTGAATGTTTACAGGCCGATCGACCGGGTTTCAGGCACGACTTTGGCAGTTTCACTGGTGTGTGTGTGTGTGTGTGTGTGTGTGTGCGTGTGCGTGTGCGTGTTCAGGTGCCGTGGAACCCCGAGGTGGACCTGTGTTGGCACGCTCTGCTGCGTGGCGTCTCAGACGAGTGTGAACCCGAGTGGTGCGACTCTGAAGACCCGCTCTTCATCCTCTACACCAGCGGCTCCACCGGCAAGCCGAAGGTGAGGAAACACCTGTAGGTCACCTGCGTCTCACTTAATGAGGCGTCCTGCTCAGATACTCAGTGTGTCTGAGGAAAGCCCACCTTCATCATCACCTTCATCATCACCTTCACACCGCAGCAGGCGGAGCTTCAGTAACTCGCTCAGGGTGTCTGTGAGCCGGAGAGAGAGACACGAATGTTAGAACCATAAACTGTCACAGGTGGAAACAGGTTTGTTCTAGAACTCCTGACTTCATCGTTTAAAACTAAAGTGTTTATTTTGTGGAAAATTATGATCAGAAATCAACCGAATAACTTCTTACAACTTCAAATTAAACGAAAGTTAAATTAATTAACAAGATCAAAAAGTGGGCAACAAATCCTTGTTTGCCACACGCCTCTATTTCTGCATATGAACGCTCCTCCTCGCTCCTCCTCCTCCCTACTCCTCCTCCTCGCCCCTCCTCACCCCTACTCCTCCTCCTCGCCCCTCCTCACCCCTCCTCGCTCCTCTCGTCTCGCCTGCAGGGAGTTCTCCACACCGTCAGCGGCTACATGCTCTACACCGCCACCACCTTCAAACTGGTGTTCGACCACCAGCCCGACGACGTGTACTGGTGCACGGCGGACATCGGGTGGATCACCGGCCACTCTTACATCACTTACGGCCCGCTGGCCAACGGGGCCACCAGCGTCCTGGTGAGTGTGCGAGCGCGCTCAGACTTCCTGTTTACAGGTGTGGGCTGAGGTGTGACGTAACACTGATGTGTGCGACGGTTTAACCCAAAGCTGTCTGATGATTGTACATGAGTGTTTGTGTGCGTCAGTTCGAGGGCCTGCCCACCTACCCCGACGTGAGCCGTATGTGGGAGATCGTGGACAAATATAACGTCACCAAGTTCTACACGGCTCCCACCGCCATCAGGCTGCTGATGAAGTCTGGAAACGAGCCGGTGCAGAGGTGAGCCGAGGCCCCTCCTCCCTCCACCAGGAGCCTGCGAGGTAACTCACCTGTGCCTTTGTCTGCAGGTACAAGAGAAGCTCTCTGAAGGTTCTGGGGACGGTCGGCGAGCCCATCAACCCCGAGGCCTGGCAGTGGTACTACAACGTGGTCGGGGAGAAGAGGTGCCCGATAGTCGACACCTTCTGGCAGACGGAAACGGTGAGTGACGGTTTCCTGCAGTTTCAGCAACGCCGCTTCCAAACGTCTTCATCTAGAATCGTCTCCATTTCTGCTTCTTTGTGCACCTGCTGCTTCTCTGCTGAGCTTTGACTGTGGCTGTGCTGCCCCCTGCTGGCCGGCTGCCTGAGATTAAAGCGGTTTTCTGTTTTCAGGGAGGACATGTTCTGACTCCTCTGCCCGCGGCCACGCCCATGAAGCCTGGATCTGCTGTGAGTAAGAACATGATGTGGAAACACGTTTAGGTTCAAACGTGTGTTTGGAGAAACGTTAAAAGGTTAAATGAAGAAAATAAGATAAAACCGTGATCGAGGCTTTTAACCCTTTTAAGCGCTTAACTGTGCACAACTGTTTTTAGACTCCAGTAGAGTTACAACCACGTTGCTAGCACAATCATTTTCTTTGCATATGAAACTGGACGAGTCGTACTTGCTCATCTAGTCTCCGCTCAGTTTCCCTCCACAAACGGCTTCTTGCAAAAATCTCGTAAAAGCACTGACAACAACAAAATCATCATAATCCAGACGAGCGTTGCTGATCTGATCCAGAAGTGACGCCATTTTTGGGGGAAACGTAGTTTTTCCCCTGCAGGGCCTTTCAGAGGTTTCCTGCTGTGTTTGAACGTCATGTTTGACTCC